GTTGGTAGATAAGGAAAAGCTGTAATTTTAAGAGAGCAAGGCAAGGATAGAAACTACTAGCATCACACCATAAATGCTATTTTAGGCTTTTGGTTGCTGTAAATTGTTGGTAGATAAGAAAACGCTGGAACCTTAAGTAAGCAAAGCAAGGATAGAAACTACTAGCATCAGACCAGTAAGATTCTAGGAATCACTCTTAGACACCTAGGGTCAGGTTGCATCAGACAATCCTAAAGAGAAACGCGTGCTTGCTGGAAAATCTCTAAATTCATTCATTTCTTTGAAAGCAAAAAGGGTTCACAAGCCTTATATAGAGCTCTACTAGGCTGGCTACTAAATGTGATTTGTGACTTCTACCTACACGTTGAGGCCATGGATGCATTGAACCAAAATTAATTATTAAAGGACCATGTATTTACCCACTACATGAATCACCACACTTAGTAACATTAGTTATTATAGGACTATATATTTACCCAATAGACAAACTATATACATAATGGAATCTTGGCTACTGCAGTAAAGACCATACAACAATACCCCATATTGACTGAACTCAATAAAAACCAATTACCCAAGATCCCATGTACGCCTAACATCATCATATTCCAAATTAGGGCTTGGGCCTTAGAGCCCTCCCTGTCACGCCTTCAAAAAAACTTTTAAAGGGCTGCCACTTACCTCCAACACAACTTCTATGCTTGAACGGCATAATAAGGGGCACTAGTAATATTTAGAATATCATATAGTTCATATTCCAGCTTCATTAACACCAGACCCCACACAGCATACAAAACAAGAAAATATATTCCTAACAGCTCCGACCCCTTCATAGTCCTATTGAATGACTTGATCAGTAAAAATGAACAGAAGGCTAACAGGTAACTGGATTTCATATCATGTCAAAACAAATTAGAACTTGTACAAGATTAACTTTGACAGAGAAAACCACAGTGACGTTTATGAACAGTAGTGTAAAAATAACAGAACAATAGGGCAGAAGCCATACCATTAGGTATGTCTTTCAATGGTGTACCGCGCCCCTACAATGTTAAAGGTAAGACTATAAACAAAATAATCCTCAGCAATAGATAACTGAAACTGATATCTTTAGGCCACAAAACAAATAAAAAGAAGACCTTTTCTATTTGGAATTCCCTGACAGCATCTTTTTCAATAGATGCCACCAGCCTTTCAACTGATTTCCGCTCACGTACAGGGCGATCAGTAGCAGGAGTCCTATGCTCTGGCTCCTTCTTTTCTGCCACTTCCTTTTTCTTCTCTTTAGTTTTCTCCACCCTCTTTCCTTTTCCACGCTTCCTCGACCCTTTCTCCACCTTAGCTTCTTTTGCCCTCGCTTCTTCCTTCTCTTCTTCCTTTTCTTCTTCCTTTTCTTCTTCCATCTCTTCTTCCTTCTCTTCTTCCTTCTCTTCTTCCTTTTCTTCTTCTTTCTCTTCTTCTTTTTCTTCTTCCATCTCTTCTGCCTTCTCTTCTGCCTTCTTTACCTTGTCCTCCTCCACTACAAATTCCCTCTTTTCTTCAGTCTTTCCTTCGGTCTCCTTTTTTTCATTCGGACCAGTTTCCTCTTCCATTTCCTCCACTTTAAGTTCCTCTTTTTCTTCTTTCAATTTTTCATCTCTGCTTCCATCAGCCTCTAGGTCTTCATCCATTTTTTCAACTTCAGCATTCTCATCACCTATCTTGACTTCATTCGGACCATTTTCTTCTTTCTTTTCCTCAACTTTGGATTCCTTTGTTTCTTCTTTCAATTTTTCATCTTTGCATCCATTGGCCTCTAGGTCTTCATCCATTTTCTCGACTTCAGCTTTTTTGTCACCCTTCTTATCTACATCCATTTCCTTTACCCCGACATTTTCCTTCCCTTTTTTATCAGTCACATCTTCACTGGTTTTCCCTGACTGGCTAGTCCCATTCGCGACTGTTTCAGTGCCATTGGTCACCGTGTCTTCCTCACCCATGATCAAGCCACTCTCAGTTAATCTAAAGCAGATTCTTTGTCCCAAAGTTTATCAGATAACTATCTCCTGAAACAAATGTAGTATTTACTTAGCACATGTATCACTGAGCATGAAATTACCATAAAAATAAAAAGACCTCTCATAGAAATTTAAGGGGTTACTACTATTCTTTCAAACAAAGAGAATGCAATCCGTTTGGAGAAGTATTCAAATAAAATGCATTACATTTCAAAATGCCGCAAATAAAGCTCACTTTTAGCTGACAAATAACATTCCAAAGGACAATAATCGAATTTCGGAGAAATAGGCATGGGGAGTATAACAATAACAGTCCCCACAACACTGAAAGCCCTTACTACATCTGCTGAACAAAGTCCATAACTTTCACAGATCCCAAAAGGATAAAAATCAAATATAATTTAAAATTTTGAAACTTAATACAAAAGCATTCCAAATAAGCACCAAAAATCTTTCCCTTCGTTTGCTGAGAAAGCTAAGATAAAACGTAAGCGAAACAAATTTCAAATCTTTAGCTTCTATACTGCTTTAACTAAGCCTCAGCTTCACAAAGCCATGTTAAGGTTTTTTTTTTTTTTTTTTAAATTTATTTTTAAAGCAAAGGAACTATACTAAGATCAGTTTGGGTCAAAATACGCGAAATTCAAAACTACAAATCACACTTCATTTTGCAACTTTCTCGGCAACCAAACCGAGCCATGAAAAAGAGGAACAATTTTGCACAGTAATCAGTAGAAACCAACCAAGAATTCACAAAGTTTGAGAGCTGCAACAAACATTTGGAAACCCTAAGCTCTGCACCACAATTATGCCCAAATAAATCACCACAAATATTTTTACAAAAATTCGACAACAGAAAAAAGAAGCAACAATTGACAATTGCAATTCAATAAAAATAGTTTAGGGTACGAAACTTACAGAGATTTGAATTTTGTTGGTTGATTTGGAGCTTAGAAAAAAAAGTCTTCGAGTCCCACTCTCAGTGCTTGGCTCTCTCTCTCTAATAAAACAATATGCTTCGTGTTCGTTTTTTATTTTTCATTTTTTTTATTTTCATTATGCTTCGGATTTATATAGTCCGGATTCCAAATCCGGATTTAAAATGCAGTTAACTGCCTCGTCGGATTTGTGTGTCAGACGTGAGAGCGAAGTTCGATTTGCGGGAGTGCATCCACGGCCCAGATCTGGTTTAAGATGGCACACGGCAAATCGACGGCTGCTGTTTGATATTCGTTTAGTTGGAGGTGGTACTCGTCGCGCCTGTGGG